CTGTAGACACTTGAGTAAGTGTGTTTCGGTGGCCCCATCATCTGTAGACACTTGAGTAAGTGTGTTTCGGTGGCCCACATCACCTGTATACACTTGAGTAAGTGTGTTTTGGTGGCCCCATCAACTGTAGACACTTGAGTAAGTGTGTTTCGGTGGCCCCATCATCTGTAGACACTTGTGTAAGTGTGTTTCGGTGGCCCACATCACCTGTATACACTTGAGTAAGTGTGTTTTGGTGGCCCCATCAACTGTAGACACTTGAGTAAGTGTGTTTCGGTGGCCCCATCATCTGTAGACACTTGAGTAAGTGTGTTTCGGTGGCCCACATCACCTGTATACACTTGAGTAAGTGTGTTTTGGTGGCCCCATCAACTGTAGACACTTGAGTAAGTGTGTTTCGGTGGCCCCATCATCTGTAGACACTTGTGTAAGTGTGTTTCGGTGGCCCACATCACCTGTATACACTTGAGTAAGTGTGTTTTGGTGGCCCCATCAACTGTAGACACTTGAGTAAGTGTGTTTCGGTGGCCCCATCATCTGTAGACACTTGTGTAAGTGTGTTTCGGTGGCCCACATCACCTGTATACACTTGAGTAAGTGTGTTTTGGTGGCCCCATCAACTGTAGACACTTGAGTAAGTGTGTTTCGGTGGCCCCATCATCTGTAGACACTTGAGTAAGTGTGTTTCGGTGGCCCACATCATCTGTATACACTTGAGTAAGTGTGTTTTGGTGGCCCCAATCATCTGTAGACACTTGAGTAAGTGTGTTTCGGTGGCCCCATCATCTGTAGACACTTGAGTAAGTGTGTTTCGGTGGCCCCCATCATCTGTAGACACTTGAGTAAGTGTGTTTCGGTGGCCCACATCACCTGTATACACTTGAGTAAGTGTGTTTTGGTGGCCCCATCAACTGTAGACACTTGAGTAAGTGTGTTTCGGTGCCCCCATCATCTGTAGACACTTGAGTAAGTGTGTTTCGGTGGCCCCCATCATCTGTAGACACTTGAGTAAGTGTGTTTCGGTGTCCCCATCATCTGTAGACACTTGAGTGCATTTCGGTGGCCCACATCATCTGTAGACACTTGAGTAAGTGTGTTTCGGTGGCCCCCATCATCTGTAGTCACTTGAGTAAGTGTGTTTCGGTGGCCCCCATCATCCGTAGACACTTGAGTAAGTGTGTTTCGGTGGCCTCCATCATCTGGAGACACTTGAGTAAGTGTGTTTCGGTGGCCCACATCACCTGTAGACACTTGAGTAAGTGTGTTTCGGTGACCCCCATCATCTGTAGACACTTGAGTAAGTGTTTTTCAGTAGCCCCCATCATCTGTAGACACTTGAGTAAGTATGTTTCGGTGGCCCCCATCATCTGTAGACACTTAAGTGTGTTTCGGTGGCCCCATCCTCTGTAGACACTTGAGTAAGTGTGTTTCGGTGTCTCCATCATCTGTAGACACTTGAGTGCATTTTGGTGGCCCACATCATCTGTAGACACTTGAGTAAGTGTTTTTCGGTGGCCCCCATCATCTGTAGACACTTTAGTAAGTGTGTTTTGGTGTCCCCATCATCTGTAGACACTTGAGAAAGTGTGTTTCGGTGACCCACATCATCTGTAGACACTTGAGTAAGTGTTTTTCGGTGGCCCCCATCATCTGTAGACACTTTAGTAAGTGTGTTTCGGTGGCCCCCATCATTTGTAGACACTTGAGTAAGTGTGTTTCAGTAGCCCCCATCATATGTAGACACTTGAGTAAGTGTGTTTCGGTGGCCCACATCACCTGTAGACACTTGAGTAAGTGTGTTTCGGTGGCCCACATCACCTGTAGACACTTGAGTAAGTGTGTTTCGGTGTCCCCATCATCTGTAGACACTTGAGTGCATTTCGGTGTCCCACATCATCTGTAGACACTTGAGTAAGTGAGTTTCAGTGGCCCACCTCATCTGTAGACACTTGAGTAAGTGTGTTTCAGTGGCCCCCATCATCCGTAGACACTTGAGTAAGTGTGTTTCGGTGGCCCACATCATCTGTCGACACTTGAGTAAGTGTGTTTCGGTGGCCCCTATCATCTGTAGACACTTGAGTAAGTGTGTTTCGAGGGCCCCCATCATCTGTAGACACTTGAGTAAGTATGTTTCGGTGGCCCCCATCATCTGTAGACACTTAAGTGTGTTTCGGTGGCCCCATCCTCTGTAGACACTTGAGTAAGTGTGTTTCGGTGTCCCCATCATCTGTAGACACTTGAGTGCATTTCGGTGTCCCACATCATCTGTAGACACTTGAGTAAGTGTTTTTTGGTGTCCCCATCATCTGTAGACACTTGAGTGTGTTTCGGTGGCCCCCATCATCTGTAGTCACTTGAGTAAGTGTGTTTCGGTGGCCCCCATCATCGGGAGACACTTTAGTAAGTGTGTTTCGGTGGCCCCCATCATTTGTAGACACTTGAGTAAGTGTGTTTCAGTAGCCCCCATCATATGTAGACACTTGAGTAAGTGTGTTTCGGTGGCCCCATCATCTGTAGACACTTGAGTAAGTGTTTTTTGGTGTCCCCATCATCTGTAGACACTTGAGTAAGTGTTTTTCGGTGGCCCCCATCATCTGTAGACACTTAAGTGTGTTTCGGTTGCCCCATCATCTGTAGACACTTGAGTAAGTGTTTTTCAGTAGCCCCCATCATCTGTAGACACTTGAGTAAGTGTGTTTTGGTGGCCAAGTCTAGTACCTATCATGTTATTTGATGTGGAGCCCCCTCCCGAGACCTACCCACAAACTTCAGGTATATATACATAGATAGTAAATACCTAGCTAGGGTTAACACAGCATTGTACAGGTAAATGAGTGTCTGTCCCTGACGAGCTAGATAAATAAAACAAGTTCCTTGCCGTGTATCTGTTGTAAATCTAGACTCATTCACACAACTATCTCCACAGCTTTCTAAATAGTTCACTGCTCTCGGATCAATGAAGAAAGGGTTTTCATTGCAGGGGAATACTAGCGTATTGTCAAAGGCAAAATTTGAATTTAAATACCTTCACGGGTCACCGAAATCTCTGCATAGATTGATGGAATAGAAGGTAGGTATACACCAGTATGTACAAGAAATTTGTTTCCGGAAATAGAATAGAAGTTAAACTTTCCCTTATGATATTATTAGATCTTTCAATAATTCAATACATATAGTAAAAGATCCAAACTTAAATTGAATTTATTTGTTTTTTTCTTATTGTCTATAGAATAAATCTATTGGATAAAACTGATTACAGACAAATATTGAATGTGTGAGGATTGTACCTTGTCCATATTTTTCTATAGGAGCCATATTATGTATATTGAATGAAGAAAGTATGATTGTGATTTTGTTACCAATATCAATCATTTCAAATCCTACGTTTATGCTTTTGTAGTAGCTAGTCTCTTAACTTTCAAATATTATTGATAATAATATTTGATAGAAAAGTTGGATATTAAAATGCTTGAAAGGAATTATACAAGAGGCTCTTAGGTTAATCACATAGCAATTTTATTCAAAAGCATAATCTCTGACCTCCTTACATCTGACATCAAAGTAACATGAATGAAATAGGATATTATATAACACATAGATGAGACACAACAAAGTCTAGTCATCTTAATCAAGCCTTTTGGACAAGCTATACTCAAAATTTATCAGTATTTGACATATTTGGGTATAATCATAATATCCTTTATCTTTGGTCTTCTCTATCAGGTCAATAGAAATTAAAAAAAGCATTTAGTTTCACTCATTTTATTAGAATATTTGTTTGGTCTGATATCATTACCATAATACATTGGTTTTACTTGGCTCTGATGTAAGATATTGCTAAAGATTTGATCTATGATTGGCAAACAAGTCTGTCTGAGTCATGTAACAAATACTGACCATCACCTATACATGGAGAATGGCATGTCAGCAAGTGTGTACTGGAGGGCAGAACAGATCTAGGGATAATACAGTATTCATTAAGGTTACTTGTCTGTAGAAAATTTCTTAAGTTGTGAAGCTTTTATATTTGTATACAAATGTAGGGGCAAATTTAGGTGGGTAATGTCAGTGAGGGACAACACACACCACCAAACCCCTTTTTTAAAATATATTTTTTGCAGAGGCACAGGAAGAAACATAATGGCATAACCCAAAATGTCAAAATTATCAAAGTAATCCGAGACCTTACTACATTTTTCCATCAATTTAATTTATATCCAATCATGAAATAAAAAATGCTTATTAAGTTTGTTTTGAAAACAAAGTTTGTAATTGAAAACTTAATTATTGTTTTGAAAACAAAGTTATTTACTGACTGCGCAGTTTCGAGCTGGGACACTCCTTTGCACTCTTTATATATATTACTTAAAAAGGTTCCAAAATGGACATTTTTGATTTGCAAAATATAAGTTCTCTATTACTGTTTGTGAAAAAACAAACTTTGCATTTATTATTCAAACCATACTGATGAATCTTATTCCAAAAATCAGATGAAATAGCATTTATACTGGATACCTGGGGTCAAGTCAATTTTATTTAAAAGTCGGTATACACGGTTAAACAAGGCAACATAAGCCTATGAAAGGCTAAATGTAGTTGACCCCACCCAACATTTCTGGATCTGCCCTGAAAACCTCTACTTATATCAATAACTTTGTCTGGCCATTTGATTGAAAACAACAAACTATCTAATGGCTCAATAAGTTGAATAACACCACGGACTTAGATAACTAATCTAATTCCATGATAACACAAATTAGTTTCTTTAGACATACGGTAAATTAACAATTTCAGTCATTTTATATTTCTCTATACCAAAAGGACGTAGAATTTAATCATAAATACGTCAGTTATTAAGCTGCGACATAGACTTGGGAAAATCTAATCTTATTCTTATTTATCTGTGCTTCGTTGTGATAAGTAGGCCTAACATTTCGTCAATGCATCTCGTAGCAAGTTTTAATTCATGTCACGTGACAGGACAAGGTGCCCCTTGTTCACGCATGCGTATTGGATACTTTACGTCTGGGCGAGGTCTGTGTGTATCTTTCTACCGAGCAGCGATCTCACCGAGTTTTCTCCATAAAGTTGCTCCAAAATGAGTGAGGACGCTCCTTTCTTCGAGCCCATAGAAGGCCAAGATGACAGGAAGCCAAGTTTTGAATTATATATAAAGGTAAATATGTTTATGTAAACTGTTTTTTTTAAATACACCTCACAAACGTGTTCTGCATGTTGCCGCCCTGTGCGTTATATACGTTACAGGTAAGGGCTTTTTCAACAGGTGATGGTACCCGAACCATTAAAACTGTCTGAATCAACTGTCTACGAATTACATGGAACCTGTAATTCTTGTCTGTTAATTGATAGCCAGGAACTCTGGATAACTGTCACATTGCTTTTATTTTCGTTTACAACGCTATACATTCAGGAAACGGGGCACTGCCTACTGAGCAGTGACTCTGTACAGGTACATGTGTGTATCACCTGTACAGGTAAGGACAGTGGGATAGGTCGGAATGTAGTTATGGTATGAACGGATTAAATTAAAGAAATTCATGATATTCCTGTAGAGCTATTTAATATATGATTGAAATATTAGAACAAACACGTCAGCTTTCATTATAATAACAATACACATACATCATGTTGTTTCCTATATTTGTACAGATTACATACCGTACATTTACCTAAGTAAAAATGCTGATGAAATATGACAAACTGTGTTTCTCTGACTTCTAGTTGTAACTTTGGTTTTGTGACTATAGGTATCTTATAATTACAGTTTGGCTAATTTATATTGCTGTTCTTATATTAATTAAACTGCATTGTATTAATTACTGAATTGACAAGTCGAATTTTTTTTTGTACTTAATATTTAGTTTATGGAATCTTCATTTACAGGCAACAGTATGTGCTGCCACCAAGATAAAAAAAAATAGTAGGCTACATCGATAACTGAATTGCTCATAAAAACACTGGTTTTCCTGTGAAAAAGTTGTTCAGCATTGATTATTGAACATTATAAAAAAGGTTTTCATTTGATTGTGCTTTCCACTAGAAATGTTAATTGATTATTTGTAATATCGCCTAGATAAAGAACAGTTCACCACACCCATCAGACTTCATTAAACTTTGGTGCTATTCAAGCATTTGCTTTTCTACTTCAGGCTTCAACGATAGACTACGCATCCAAAGGGTCGTGTCCGATTTGTCAGCAATGGTTCATGCTGGCCTACCTACTGGCCGAGAAACAGTCTGTCAGCTTCCGTGTGTACACAGTGCTATCCAGTTCGCCACCGAAAACATTCAGTGAAAAGTTGCAAGGGAAGAACCCATCACAGTACCCTGTAGTCATTGGACTCGGTGGTGAAGACAGCAATGGCCAAACTCTAATAAACCGTATCGCTGACGAAATCGACGAGGTGGAACAGTTCTTTGAAGAAGTGAATCCATACTTTCGGGATTTTAAAAGGAATACCCCAGATAATTTGAATGCACTGCATCATTTTCAAGACTTGTCAAAAGTAAGAGTTCAAGGTCAAAGTTTGAATCTATGTTGACCTTCACCTTCCCTGTTAATTTTGAATGCATATTTTCAGTGGAGGATTTGTACACAAAATTAGATGAAGGTTTAACTTAATTTAGTGTAACCGTCTGTTTTGACCTTCGCCTTTCCGATTGCATTCCATCAACATGTCCAGTTGAGGAAATATGTTTATTACACATAATGTTTTGATGTCTAAGTTGAAGGTCAGACTTTGTGTTTGGAGGTTGAGCTTCAACTTGTCAAGGCACTGTGATAGATATACGATCACTCTAAATCCCACAGTATGTAAAGGAAAGTTTTCTTGTCATATATATTTTCAGAGGCAATTTATCGTCAGTTTTCTGTTCTAAAACATAGATCCTATTTCATAGAAATATAGATCTTAGTTCATGTTGTACAGGATGTGTAGGCCTCTATAGGATACATTTATAGCATCAACTGATTCTAAAAAAAATATCAGAATAGCATTGCTAGTTCCCAGACTATTAGGCTAAGATTCACAAAATTCTATTGTGAACTTGATACAAATAATAAGGAAAGTGATTTTCAGGTATTAAACTGCACACCTTTGCAAAATGTCTGAATTGTCTACATGTAAACATAATATACCAAGCTTGGGTGATCTTAGTGAATACCAGTTGCATGCCAATCAGTAGAGGAAAACATCTGATACACAACACTGGAATTGTGATGGGACAATCTGTGCTATAAATACACTTGGTGGATCCGCCCACTTGGATAGTATTATATGTAGCGGTAGACCTAAAACAAGTTAACATGGGATCTCTCGGGATGGGATGTTTGAAAAATTGTTCAGACTTGAAGAATTTAATTATTTTCTATTTCGATTTAATTTTCGAAATGACAAACTTATGTCAACAAAACATTTGTCAATTATATAAA